AATACCTATCTATTATAGCTTATACTCTAATTCATAGAATAATAGCATAAATGTATAATATATAATATAGGCAGCTATCTTATTGTGAAAAATGAAAATATATTTTTAATTTAGGTTGGTGCATTTTTTTTAAATTGTTCAAAAACACTTGAATCTTAAATAATAACTTAATATGATTATGTTGCTTAAAATATACGATAAACTATTGAAAGGATTATCTAATAACTAATTTTATTAATAACCAACGATTTAAATAAAGATTTTAGGTCTAAAATATGTATCTTAATGTTTGAGAAGTTACTTTATATAGTACATATTTTTGCAAAGGTATATTATATCATATATAATATTGTATTACTTATAGATTTACAAGTACCTATGTAACATATTAATTAATTATTTTATTCAAATAAGTAATTAACTCCAACTAAAAAAAAATTTGTAGAATTGTGTTACTGTCTTATTCGTTGCGCGCATGTTGTGGTAGGAAAATATATTGACCTATAAACATGAGTTAGCATTGATATATTATAATAATAATATTATGATTGATGCTATAATTATAATAGGGACTTAAGTCTTATATACATAGGTATAATAAATAAATAATTACTTATTCAGGCGCTAAGTCATGCTAAGTATTATGTTATATATTTTTTTAAATCACACGTCACTATTTATTTTACTGTTTTATAAGAAAACAGCTGATTCGCTGTTTTAAGTTTCTATCTACACCATATTGCAATTGATGGTAGGCACCACTCAAGTCTATTATTAGTTTATATTTTATCATAATATTATATTAACGAAAAGTATAATTTATTTTATACCAACGAGATGAAAACTTCGAGAAAAATTATGTTTCCCATGTAAATAAACCCACACAAGTATTAAACTCAAATAAATCCTAAGTAATTAAAATAAATTATCAGGTTTTTAATAATTTTTCTAAATACATTTACTGACATGTATACCAAACTTCAGGTATTCATATCAACTGTTTAAAAAATAATAATGGTTCTTGCCCCACCCTTCAATTTATTATATTAATAAATGTTAACAAATCTGTAAATAATTAATTATGTAAATGTATATTGTGTAATCTGTTTATACGATAGATCTAATTATAAATGTAGTGTGAAGAATAATGTATACGAATAGTGTTTAATGAAATACAATTTAAGCTTTATTTAACAATTAAAATGCATAAATTATAAATGGACGTTAATTTTCTAAACAAACAGAATAAAATTAAAATTAAATGTACACAATTCAAGAAATAAGAACGTGTATACTTTTCTTTCTATTAAAAATAATACGATTTTTCAATAATTTAGTATAAAAGTTCACATTAATATTAATTTATAGTGAACGACATTTTAGGATTTAACATAATATACAAATATAAATAATAAGAATTATCTCCCTGATTTCACGTGTCAGTCAAATGCAGACACAAAACCAGTTTGTTAATCAAAATGGATGAAAATAATATAAATGTTTTGATAATATTATGATTTATTATATATCTGAATTTAATAATAGTTTATGATAGAATATAACGATTTGTTAATATTCTTTAAAAATTGTAAACTATTAATTAAGAATAAATACATTATGAAGACAGTTTTTGAGGTTTGGGATGAGTATTATTACGTTATTTCAACTTTTTTACATTTTAAGTCGACACTGGTGATACTGATATACTTTTACCCTGTTCAGTACAGCTATATAAAGCTCACTGGTTTCATAGATCACTTTACTAAAAGGTCTCTGTTAGTTCGTCACTACATTCCTATTTTTTTACACAATCCCCACCAGTTATAACCCCATAGTGGGGCGTATTAGTGGTGGGAGAAGGGTACACAGTACAGATTTGGAACTACACATATAGCGCAACAACAGTCCAGGATCAGCTGCTATCGCTGTCAGTGGTGCCTTTCAGATTTGGTTTATTTTATTTGGAGGTAATTATACATAAATATATATATACACACATACATATTTAAATATTTTATTTTAATTAAAATGAGTAAAACAATTATTTATACCCGTAAATAATAATTAATGCTGATACATATCTTCACTCAAATTTATATATTTTTAGTTGTTATTAGTACATTTCAAATACTTTTATACAATATATAAGTGAATAAATTCGTATTTTAAACGCAGGGATTTCATTAAATTTCTATAATATTGTAAGTTAATATGATTTGATTTTGATTTCCAATCAAATGTATTATAAAAATATGTGTTTTTCTAAAAATATATATTTTAAAATATTTAAATAGGTACATTTTAAAATTGTTTTAAATATTTTAGTAGGCATCTTAAATAATTTATGATAAATATTTAATTAAATGGATAACTTTTAAACTTACAAGAGTTTTATACTTATAATAATAAAACTGTGTAGTAGTTTGAAATCAGTGAATGTTTAACATTATATTTGAATTTTTATTGTATTTTTGTCTGTATTTATTAATAATTTTAATTTCATGCAATTTGAAACATTATTTAAAGTATTTCCAGTTTTCTAGTTGCCCAAATATGCGAAAATAGGTAGTTTAATTTTGGCACATAGCGTGGGCTTGTGCAAAATTACAGTATGTTTCGAACACTTCTATATTTAATATCTGTCGTTGAAATTTGTATGTTCATAATTTAATAATTATCATTGTAACATGATACGATAGGTACTATAATAACATTATCGATATTAAATAAATTTTGATAATTTACTTAAAAATATTTTTAAATTAAACCGATGATATACATCGATGGTTTAATCAGCTGTTAAAACTAATGAGTTTCAAAGGTAAATTGGAAATAGAAAGATTATTATATGTAATTAATATGGAACTTGATTTTTCTCAATTTGTTTTCATCTTCAATTTTCAAGTCATTTTTATAACCAGAATAAAAACTAAAACGTGTTGTAAATTAGTTACCATTGCCATTAATGATTGTTGCGCTAAATTCATGATGATTGATTCTTGATGTGATTTGCGTTTTAATTATCGTGTTATTAAAATTAAAACAAATTTAGCAACAAAAATTTAACAACTAGTGGGGGCGGTGAGGTGTTTGGTCGGAATTTGGGTCGGTTGAGCGCATACCGCAACGGCGGCGTACAACTATTTTTAAACGTCCGCTGCGTGGTGCCGCGCGGTGGTATCGTTTTACTCACTGTAAATGGCGGGTACCAGACTGTTTTATTTTTTATTTTGTACTTCGGCATTAGCAACTTTGCTATTTTTGTCCGATTCCACGGAAGCCTATTTTTCTTTCAAAATAGATAATAGCAGAAAATAAGAAGGATATGTGCGACCATTACCTTTCTAAATTACCCATGGGACAATCTTTACTCAACTTACATTTTTTAAAATAACAATAATTATCATTAATTAGACATTTTGAAAATTTTAATTTTTCAAGATCAAAAATGTTTATAATAATGATTATATAATACACATAATCGGTCTTATACAACTTACTTAGTTGATTCATGTTGTATTATTTTTCATGGATAACATTTTTTTTTCTTTAAATGCCTAAAACATGTCATCATATCTATACGAATTATTATAATTTAATAACAGTGGATACAATAAGATATTCTTTATTAATATTTAAATTTCATCCTCCAGAACTATTACCATTTATTTTCAAATAATTAAGTAACATTTTTTTTAGTATCAAATATACAGTATAGAATATATATCTATACCATACTGATTTGTAGTTTTAAAATATATGTTTTATTTATTTATAATAGCTAATAGGAAAACATACTTGACAAACCAGTGAACTTGTGAACTAAATTTATCTAGTATATTATTTAAGTTTATTATTATAGTGTTATACATAATGTCATAATATATAGTTAAGTTTTTACAATCGGTAACTACATTATTCTTTTTAAAATCTTGTGTATCAATTATCAATTCGTAAGCGATACGGTTATAAGAGTAGATAGATTTTGTATTATTTAAATCATTATATTATATTAGAGAAGTAAACGTAAAATAAATTATAAGCAGCTATATTTTTTTAAATCACATTTTTAAGCTCAAATTATATTTGTCTTTACAATGATTGTTCACTTTTTCTTAATATATAATTTATTTTGCTTTAAAATGTGTATTATTCCTGACTTATGGTTCTTGGGTTTCGTGTGGTTGATCAGGATATTATTTAGTTTTTTATATTGACGACATTAAGCTAATATTTGTTTTATTGTTAATTATGTTCTACATTTTGAATATTATGTAGGATATTATTAGGTAGGCATTATTAATAAGCTACCTAAATATTATTTGGATATAGACCAAAAACTTGAGTCGTAAATACCTAAACTCTAAATATTATTGTTATGTATTATTTTAGAAGTATTTGTAAACATAATTAATATTTTTTGAATAAATTTGTTCTTATTAGAATTTTTCACTATGGGTCAAATAAATATTTTCTGTAATTAGGTATGTATAATTATTTTCCAAACAAGTGTTTCCGACAAAAAAAAAAAATGCTCAATATATAAGTGTATAATAGCACTATTAGTATATAATTATAAGCAGTGTCAAAAATATATACAAAAAATAAGTTTTATTTTTAACCTAACTCTAAAAATAAAAAACGATTATCTTTCAAAAATAACTCAACCTATTAAGCGTCCAAGTAAGAAAATGGCTTTCCCATAAACATATAGGTACCTATATAACTAATACATACAATATAAAAACTAATTTTATTTATTTATAATAATTAGKCAGTAAGTAACTAATAAGTATAATATTAAGTGCAACTTAATAATTTATTGTTGTACCTAATTAATAATTATCGTTATAAATGAAGTGTATTCTGTGATTTCTTATTTTTCTGTCAGATTTTGAAATATGATGAAATGAAAGTTCTTTTGATGAATACATCGTATTATATCAAATATTAATCAATTTTTGTATTTTGTTTTAGTGGGGTAGAAAAAAAACTTCAAAATGGACGCTATTAAGAAGAAGATGCAGGCCATGAAGATGGAGAAGGATAGCGCCATGGACAAGGCCGACACTTGTGAAGGCCAGTCCAAGGATGCGAACCTTCGTGCTGACAAAGTAAACACAATAAATATTACAAGTTAACATTTTTACTTAGTATAAACGTTCTTTTCAATTAGGTGAATGAAGATGTGAGAGATTGTCAAAAGAAATTGACTCAGGTAGAAAGTGATCTGGAAACAAACAAGAATAAGTTGGAAGAGGCCATCAAACAGTTAGAGGATAGAGAAAAGGCACTTACTGCGGTAAGTTAACGATAAGTATATTAATGTACATAAGATGTTTTAATATATATAACTTGTTTAAAGGCCGAAAGTGAAGTAGCTGCTTTGAACAGGAAAGTCCAGATGATTGAAGAAGACCTTGAAAGATCCGAAGAAAGGTCTCAAGCTGCTGCATCGAAATTGGCTGAGGCTTCTCAAGCAGCTGATGAATCTCAACGGTAGGTTAAAGACATTAATTTAATAATATCTATGCACTATTGATACAAATCATATTTTTAGTATGTGCAAAGTACTAGAAAACCGTAGCCAGCAAGACGAGGAACGTATGGACCAATTGACTAACCAATTAAAGGAAGCTCGTCTCTTAGCTGAAGATGCTGATGGAAAGTCTGATGAAGTAATAATAAATAATAACATAACCAATTAGAAAAAGTACTAAAAAAAAATTAAATTTAAGGTTTCGAGGAAACTTGCTTTTGTTGAAGATGAACTTGAAGTAGCAGAAGACCGTGTGAAATCTGGAGACTCGTAAGTAAAACATTGAATGCATACCTACTATATACGATATTATTGAAATCGTAATTTATAGAAAAATCATGGAGTTGGAAGAAGAATTGAAAGTTGTCGGAAATAGCTTGAAATCGTTGGAAGTTTCTGAAGAAAAGGTAATTAGTGTGAAAGTATTAAGATTATAAATGATAATAATTTTTTTTTAGGCCAATCAACGAGTGGAAGAGTACAAGCATCAAATCAAACAACTCACTGTAAAATTAAAGGAGGTAAACTTTCAAATTTACCTACATATTATAATATTATATTTCACAACTAAAACCTTGGAAGAACATAATATCTTATACAAATATTTATTTTATAATTTAGGCTGAAGCTCGTGCTGAATTTGCTGAGAAGACCGTTAAGAAACTGCAGAAGGAAGTTGACAGACTTGAAGGTAAGTCCCACGCTTTAATTTTCGCAAATAATATATTTATACAAAATGCTATATTAATATATTGTTTTATATATTAGTCTAGTTCAATGGAATATTTGCAGCTATATACTTATGCTTTGTTATTGTTAATATTTTATTTTTAATAGCTTATAACATTTAGTCGATCSGGGCCTTGTTTATCAATGTGTTATTTACGTTTGTTTTGTACAATAATGTGTTGTTTTTCAGATGATCTCTTCAAAGAGAAAGAAAAATCCAAAGAAATCACGGATGACTTGGATTCGACATTTGCTGAACTCACTGGCTACTAACCAAATACAAATTCTGCATAGCCTTCACTTGTTTTCTTCTTGTTTTTTATGTTCGAGTTTTGTCATAAACCAACGTAGCTTTTTGTAAAAATAATGCTTTTTATTTTTATTTTTTCACATAATTTGCTTTTTTGTCGTTTTAATATGTTTTGTCTCCAGTTGTTGCTGTACAAATTCGCTTCTATAACTTCCAGGTACAATAATAGTTTAATATTTAAAAATAATAATAAAAACATTGACGCATGTTATAAAATATGATCTTTTTATATTATGTGAATACCGTTTCATATTTATTATGTAATCAATGGTGTCATTTTAGTTTTTAATAAAAGGGAGCAAAAGTTTTGACCAGCCAATATAATATCTAACTGAATAAAATAAAAACAGATCGCTATTAGCTCGAAAGCTAATTTCTATTTATATGTTTATCTCAATCAAATTTCTATCTTGCATAACTTAATGGCAAATATAGCCTAATTATATATATAAAAAAATGAAAACGTAGAAGAGCTAAATAATTATGGTATCTTTCATTATAATATTATATATTTCAAGAATTGAACAAATTAAATTATAATATGAAACACGACTGATAAAACGTAATAGAAAAATGCAAATAGGTACCTTCAATTATAGAGTTTTTTTTTCGAAATAATGGATATATTTAAGACTAATCGTTTTTTTTAGCTATAACACTAAACGTATTAATTATTAATGTGACATTATATTTTTTAGTGCCCATACAATAGTATATTTTCTCAAAATTTGAAATATTATAGTTATGTTATTCCATCAACACACAGGCCAACAATTGAAATGTTTTAACTCATCTCATCCCCTAAAATGACGCCACTGATGCAGTTAGTTTTTATATGAATTTCAAATATTTGTTATTTGTACATCTTAATTAGAGTTTTTGAGCAAAACGTAGATGGTTTATTACAAATATTGGTGTTTTAAATATTAAATTTAATCATCCCTCAATGTTTTTTTTCTAAAAAAAAATATATATTTATATATATATTTGTATTTTTAAAAACTAGAGAAATTTGGTTTTGACCACATTTTCACAATTAGGTATAAAAGAAAATTTATTATAAATGTTTTAAATTTAAATTTATTTTTATGGTTGAACTCAATTATTAATTTGTTTACTTTGTTTATTTAAAATAATTCTTTACTTTTGTATTACAAGAATCTTATTATTTTTCAGATGAACTCGGCCTCAACAAAGACAGATACAAGTCTTTGGCTGACGAGATGGATTCCACGTTTGCTGAATTGGCTGGATATTAACCCTCTAGACTTAGCCACATATTAAAAGGAATTTACATTTGAAGTAAATAATTACCCAATGATTTTATCAAATAATATTACCATCATCAATTCTATTAATAAATCAAAAGAATATTAAATTAAATTATTACTGTTAGATTATTTATTGTTTGAACCAGTGCATACATAGGTATACATTATATATATAAACGTATTACGTGTGAACATATTAACCAATTAACAATTTATACCTTACAATTTCACCTGTATTCTAGCTTTATTATTATAGTATTAATGTACAATAATTATCTAGTCTTATGTTCTAAGTCACCTAGTCTTTATGACATATTATAATATTTATATCATATAACATGTATACATTATGTCTTAAATTTTTCATTGGATTAATTTATAAACATATATTATACATACATACTTACACATATACATAGGTGTTCAACACACATATATATATATATATATATACAATAGTACGAGAAATATTTGTGCATTGATCTATAATAAATGACCTAACTTCTTGTGTATAAATATATATATGTTTATTGAACATCTATATGTATATAAACATAATATGTACAAAATATTATTATTTAGGTTAATTTATTATTTAACTTATTATTAAGGAAAATTTATTCGTTATAGGCTCATATACAAAGTATCTTCGGTTATATTTAATAACTAATTATTATAAACGTTAATTTATTGTTAAGAAATATAAATCATAATATTATTTCACAAGGTAGGTRATTTTGTAGATTAATATATTTATTTCGATGGCAAATATTAAACACTTTAACTTACTTCAGTTAATATTTGGAAAACTGATAACGCATGTTTTTTGATGAACAGTTGGTTAGTATCTAACTTTGTCATGTACTTTATAATATTATTAATTTTATGATCATTATTCATGTAAATAATAAATGAATACGAGTCAAGCTAGTCATATAGAAACAATTGTTGAATTCGACACAATGGTTTTATTTGCCATTGGAAATTCGTTTATTTGCGTTTGAATTCAACATGCGTTTGTTAATTTGTTTAAAATATTGTATTGTTGTTTTTTTTTTCTGATATACATTTAGTTTCTTAATAATTAATATAAATTTGAGTGAATAAACATATGTTTTTTTGATTGTTGGAGAAGCGAGTGGTTTTTGTTGTACAATTATTGGCTCACTTTAGCTGCTAACCAATTATTATCGCTATACATCAATAAAATTAAATATTATCGAGCGGTGTTTGTATCTACTGTATGCTGATATTTTTATATAATACATTCATATTATTTTCGGATAAATAATTTTCATGTAGATAATTATAATATTATATAATACACTTGTGCTTGTAAATCGAATATTTAGCCTAAATTGTGATCGTTTAATTTTTTTATGAATTTAATTTTCCAAATATTACTAATGATCGTAGCTATTAAAGCATCGCAAATTATATTTAAAACGTTGCATCGCAAATTATATTTAAAACGTTTAACGTACAAAAACAATTATACGGAATTACAACTATTTTTATGAACCACGATTAAAATATGTTCATTAGCCATATAATTGGCGGTTTAACGGTGAGAGAGCCTTGGAGGGGTGGGGGTGGATACTATTCATGCTATTGATACCTTATACCTATGCGTATTTACCGTGTAAAATTTAATATTATTTCGAGAGGCGCACGTCAGAGATAGAATTTAATATCATCACGAATTGAGGTAATTTTATTTTTTAGTTTGTTTTTTATTTATCATAACAACTTTGAATATTTATGTAACTTGCTGTTAACAACCTAGTCAACAAAACTGTGTACAACCCACCCGGCACCCATTATAAATAAAAGTCATTAAAACGGTTATCGATGAGCGATATAACCACGTACTTACCTATTTATATTTTCTGTGTAAATATGACAATAATACGACATAATATGTCACAAATATATTATCATCTTTTGAGTAATTTAATACCCGATGATTACATCACATAGCTTTGATACCTGCCTTTGTAAGCAGTATTTTTTGTCAATCTTGCATGTTACAGGTATATTGCAGTGATTCATAATGAAAAAAAAAAATTGCAGATCATACAATAAAAACATGATGTCCAGCCTTCAGTTATGTAAAAATTTACAAAATAGAATTTCATATCATATTTCATTGCGTTATTTATTTTGATGAACTGAATGAACGAATCACATTGTTTTATCACTTTTCAAAAGTAAAACGCCCAAAACTGGATACATTGATTTGGTTAGTGTTAATCATACAAACAAATCGAGTTAGATATACTCGCCTAACCACGGTAAGGAAGTGTCAACCATTGGCTGTTTTTTTGGCCATAAGCAATATTTCATATTCATATTATATATTTAATTACCTATCAATTTCTTATTATGCCTTTGCCTCTATTATATGATTATTGTAGTTGTATAAATCTAAAAAGAAGAAAAGTAAAAATCCATATCTTAAGTAAATACAAGATTGAATTAATGTTTGAATTTTTTACCGTCGAGTTAAATCTTAACAACTATGTGGCAGAATCACATTATTTATACCTTAAATACCTATCAAAAATATCGTTAGGGATTGCTGGCCCGAATGTTCCAATATAAATTGTAGAGGCTATATTATATATAGTTAATATGCGTTTTTCAAGGTTGCAGTCATCATATACCGAATAATATCGATTATGATAAAAAAGTAATAACAGGTGAGTTTACACGTTCTGTTTCATTAGCAGGATTGTACCTACAAATTTGATTTTCTGATTAGATGAACCGTAATGATCGTGTCGTATATTGTAGACAGTCATCGGAATAAAATTATTTAATATATATGTAATATAAGTGGGAATATTTTTATTATAAATTGCTAGCATAGGTCGGGCCGAGGAAGCAAAATGTGCTGAGGTGACAATTATATTCTGTATATATAACACCGCCGTACGCGCAGGCAGAGGGGAGTCCGGGGGTCGCTGAGCGTTTAGGCGAGAACGCTGGTACTACGATCGTACGTGTGAAACGACGATTATAGTACGGGCTACCCATCTGGACTTGTCAGTGTTTTATTATTATTTTATGTTTGTTTTGTTTTAATAAAAGTGTTTCTGACCTGTAAGATTATAATATGTTTTGTTTGAGTAGTCACACAATTCTACCGTACTCCTTGAATCCGATCTGTATAACCGGTTAATTTATGGTCGTTGACGATTTAAGGTTTAAACRGTGAAGGTATAGYCCTACGTTAATTGTATTCTTTCAAATCTGATCTGTAACCGRTTAATTTATGGTCGTTGAGGATTGAAAGTCTAAACAGTAAGGTAGCGATATCGTCTTTCTTGAGAGCCAAATTGTAACCGGTTAATTTATGGTCTTTTGGTAACTACTATGTGTCTATGTTACTAGAAAATAAAACGGATATTTGAACATGTGTCAACAGTAAAGAAAGTTATTCAGTGGTAAGTACAGATAACTATGTATAAATAAATTTATATTGCTCAGATAAAACTGAATGAGTAAACCCACTTTTTATATTGCTATAGTGATGATATAGTATTATCTATGCATGGAAAGCTTAACAGTTCTCAAATAATATCATATTCATATATCAGAGTTATAAACTTGTTAAAATATGAAACCTATTTGAAATTAAGTCGTAATTATAATTGTTATTTTTTATTATTTATTTTTMCTTCTCATCTCCAGTATCGTCGAGCGCTTTCAGAGTCCTAATATAATGGGCCATGGAGGTTGTGGTCGTGGGTGCCGGGTGGGTAATGTGGAATAATTTTTATTTATTCGTTAAATATAATAGTACATGATATGTCATATAGGTATATTCATATATTAGTATATTACACGTAAGTTGGTATATAAAGCGAAGCGTTTTAATTCAGGTTGGTTATTATTTATATTTTTATGTTAAGATTTTTTAACTTGTAGATTGTTGATCATTACTCATGTAAGGACACTTCGGTGTTAAGTCGGAACTCTGACAACGTTCACAGACAGGTTTAAAATYTGGGCATTGTTTTGTGTAGAGTTTTTCCKGTTTATAGCGTATCGATGAAAGTTTAATAAACTCATCTGCGAATCTTGCACATTTTTCGTGAGTTAAATTTTTAGAACTCCTTGTTGTCCAATTGAAGAAGTTATTATTTTTGAATGCATTTACTGAACATTTTGAAAATTGATCTGGACCAATAACTTTTATTAAATCAAAACTTTTTACACAGTTTTTTAAAGCCAGTGTTAGCACTATAATAAAATATTACAATGTTGTATAATAAAGTAAAAATATGTTTTCTGAAATCACCTTCATTACTTACTGTTTGTATAGTAATATTTTAAAATATATTGATGAATGATAAATTTTCTTTTTTAAAACACGAAAACAATTTTAGTTATTTATAATTTTAACAATACGTATTAGTCTTTATTATTTTAAGCCAATTACATTTTACAACATTAATCATATTTAATTTCATTATTAAATGTATAAGCAATGAGCATTACTAGTGACAGCAATCTTATATTTAAAGTGTATCGACTGATAAATCACATACTTTTCCCCTGAATAGCTTGAGTATATCTGGTGGGTATAGGCTGATAGGTATTGAAAATCATTTTGTGTGAAGTTTGATACACATAGTAAGTGGACAATTGCTACCATTGGGCATAGCGATCTTGTATCTCAAAGTAAAAACACACACACACACACACACACAATTAAAAGCGCATACAATCGTTGTCCGTGTTCGCACTGAACAAGAACAATATGAAAAGAATTATTCTTATTTTACGTTTATTACAGAGTTGAAATATGGATAGAGTTTAATATGGATAAAAACCATATGTATGAACTATAGGTACCTATTATATATCAGTGGGGTGGCTCCCGCATAAGTGCGACCGTACCCCCTACGAAGAAGAGTTTTTTTCTGTTCATGTTTTTGTTTCCCATTGCTGTACATGTACATTAGATGATAAAGACTTTCAGTTTGTAAAAAAAAATAGTTTAATTAAAATGATAGCTAATAAATTTAAGTATCTATACTTTAATCTGTAATTCTTAAAATTTGTGAAGAAAAATAATACTATATTTATATATTCACCTTTTCAAGCGCTATAGTATATCTAACGACGCGTGGTACAAGCGTACAGTTTGTGTCAATATAATCAATATAATACCTATTATAATACGATTCTATATTTCTATACAAATATTACATTATACATTATAACTATAATATTTAAATCACATTACTATCTGGCCTTAGCACTTAACACTGGTATAACACTATAAAAAAAATCGTACTGTAATGATTGTTACCCTGCAATGATTATCCCAACGTTCTCGATGCCAAGGGATATCATTAAATAAATGTAAAAAAAATATTTAAACCGCGGATACTGCATGGATTGTAGGAATTGATACTTGTTTTACGCGTATTCATGTGTAATGCGACTAACGGTCACTTTGGGCATTTGAGACTTGAATGATTAACGGAGGATAGTATTACTACGAATCCTAGCTTTGTAAATTACAATAGAGTACTTAAATAGACAATATCAGTATATTATATGGATAATAAGTTAATTTAATATAAGTATAATATTTGAGAACATATTTTTATTTATGGGATTTTACATCGTATTCAATTCTAAGAATCGTTATACCAGGTTTTCAATATTATTATATGAATCTTCCTCTAAATAAAATAAAAATCATACATTGATGCAATGTAGGTGGTAGGCAAAACAAGCCTTTTAATTTACTAACCTGGAAATCTGGCATTCTAGCATTATGAACTAACAGACTGATTGTCGTTGGAATGCAACAGCAAAGTTGGTGCAAGTATATTAATGAGAAACCGCAGTGTATACTACAGTAATTACATTTTGCAACAAAAAAAAAAGAAGAAATTTCTGCAAACTAACTTTAATCAACAAATCAATGATGGTTTTCAGTTTTTTGAGTTGGAACACATTACCGCAAAAGTACAAATATCAAACGCTTATAATACGAAATGTTGACAACCATCTTTGATATTTTCTTAATATATTAAGTCTATATTATATTTTTAGGTGTTAGGGATTGAAAATAAAATATGTTATAAACTAATAACTATAAATTAATTTGATATTATTAATGTATTTATTATAAAGCATTTGAACTTCAAAGTTTGAACTCGGTAAAAAATGTATCAACGAAGTATTTTTTATGTGTATATATATATATATTTTTTTTTGGGAATGCAAAATTAAAAACTGCTAGCAGTTAAAATAAAGTTCAACAAAATTGAATAGTGCTTCAACAATGTCCTACAATAATTCGAACAAGTTTGTTGGATATATATTTAGTATGTGCGATGCCTGTCCTACTAACTAGTAACCTTATGATGTGAGACTAATCTCTGACTTTCTGACTATATAAAAAATTATACTCAAACGAAAAAGAACAATTTAAAATAGTAGTGAATTTTCAAGCACATGAATTGTAAAGGACTAAGCATTTTATTATCTTTGTAAAACATACAATATTTCAGTTTGTGTACCTATTGGCGTATTTTCAATAATTTGTTGGTGTGGGGGGGGGGATTAAATGCCTAATTAACAGAAAACTTGTAATGAAATATTGATTTATCATTGAGTAATTATTTTTTTCTCTCTGGGGGAGAGGTTGAACCTGGTATAATACCACCGTAAATACGCTATTGTGTGTGTACTATATCGTAGTATAACATATGACGTGTTCCGGGACATACATTTATTTATTTTTAATATAGGTAGGTTTTATTACGATAACAACTCAAGGATGGCACATAAAAAACAGCGTATATAAATATGCTGTAATTCATAAGGACATTCGGTAAACAATTGTTCGATTCCACAAACTATTCGTGTACAGTTCATATGAATATTTACTTGGGACTTGTGTCATAATTCAAGTCCGGAATTCGATGAACTAAAAATGTACAAAAAAACTTTAAAATTATACAAATACCTATGTCTAAAAATACAAAAAAAAAAAAAAAAATGACATTAAAAATGTTTATTTTATCGTAAAAATTATTTAATTAAAATAGGAAACATTGTAATACAATATAAATGAAAAACAGGACTGTCAGTCGAAAAATATTATATTCAATGATAAATCATTGCACGGGTGCGATAAAAGATACTGAACAGGCCCTAACTGTCTTATTTTTAAGGATATTTCAACTAGGTATATTGCTACCTATTAGAAATTTTATTTTTGTTTTAGTGTTATGGTAGCTTTAATATACATAAAAAAAAAAAAAAACAATTTTATAATATTATAACTTAGTAACGTACAGCGGTGTGAATAAATACCAGTTTTTGCCTTCTTGGTATAAATAGTTTCAAATTAATATAAATATTTGAAAATATCATTGTGTGCAGTGATTAATAATATTATGTGCTAGCTGTAGTGGTATAATAATTTTAAGTCCCAATACATAAAATAATTTAGATTGAACGAAGATGAGTTATTTTTGTGCACATGCGTATTGTGTAGGTACTGTAACTACACGTTTAAGAGTAGAAAATATTACACTACTTATTTATTTCTATGGTTTATATACCTTCCTTTTATATTCTTATTTTTAAGTAAGTAATGATCATTTTACATGGTTGAACATGAGACATGACAATGATTACAGTTCCATACAACTTATTTCTCAGTAAAAATATTAATATAAAAGCCTAGCTCTGTTATGCTTTTTAATAGATTAATTCACTCTCATTTTAATAATAACATTGTTTAATTGATTATTTTTATTTTTTAACGTAAAATGTGTTATGTACGTTTGTAAGACTGAAGCAACACGTCTTGCGGGTGCTACATCCTCTTAATGGCAAATTTTAAATGTCTTAAGTTAAGTTGATCGAAAATATTTAAGAAGTTTAAAATTAATAGTTATTCAAATTGTTTTTTGACTCAGTTAAAAGTTATAATACGGAAACTTACAATTGACTTGTTAATCATAAATAATGATTGTGTTATATTTATAATTTAATTATTTATAAATTAATGTAACTTGGATTTGATTAAGAGTAATTTATTTTTATTATTTATTAAGTTTATATATAAAAAAAAATATATATATATATATAAGTTAAGTTGAAAATCAAGCAAAAGAAAATCAAATCTAAAAAGTTGAGTTCTAAGTTTAAAATCAACTTAACTTTTTACATAATTTAAACATTTTAACTAATATTTATTCCCAAGCTTGTCTATCTATACAGCCTAAGGATTATAACTTATTATCGCTATCTAGTGATAAACAATCGCAATGCTTTATTGTGAATGACACAGCCACAGCATGTATCTACTACGCTGCTATCTTGTTATTCGTGGTAACATTTTCAAACCAATAATCAATATAATTTGATTATATTCTATATTTTGTTGTGTAGTTTTTTCAGTCTTGACATTTAAGTACGCTTGAAATAATTTCAATGCCGCTTTCTTTTGAAATATAATATTTAGGTATTATCATAACTCTACTACCTATGTATAATGTATATAGTATAGATCTCGAATACTTTGCCAACCCTATTCGTTCTTTTTTGTTTCCTTAAAATAAATTTTCAAATGATAATATTACTGAAAAACACAGAATATTTTATACACATTTCAATGTTTAACGATTATTGAATATAATTATGTATTCCGTAAAGCGCAATATAGTTTAAAAAGTTTTTTCTTCAAAATGATTTGCATATGAAACGTGTCGGGCATGTGAAAAACTTGCATGGGCGAATGACTACATAAAGTCTAGCGCAAAAGCTAGAAGTTATTATTTTATTATTTACAATAATATATAGTTTGAATGCTTATATAAGTCATACATTTTCAATAGGTACATTATAACACAAAACCATTGTCCATTTGACAAGAAAATATATTTATTTATTTTTATTAAAATCAATATCCAATAAATTATAGATGTGAACGAGGACATTCAAGGTAGTTTGATCGTTAATATTTTTTTTTTATTATGATGACCTCGGTACGCATCTCTCTGTACACGGACGAAAAGGGAAAATAACGGATCAAAGGATCTAAGATATAAGATCCCTATAAGTAATATTATTCACGACATTAATATAATATCTGCAAATGTCACGCGTATATACAGTGCGCAAAGTCTTCGTATTGACCGACAGTTGGAGACTTAATATGATATATACATATATATTACAGTATTGTATCGATATAGGCATGTTATAATATATTATATAATATATTTATAAAAAAAATGTTGAGGTGAATTTTTTTTTCGCGCATGATTGTAATACACGTCCGGACGATTTTCCGCGCGCGATTCGTGTAAACTAACTGCCCACGTCCAAGCTTTTTGAGCTTAACAAGTGTGTGTTTTTTCCGGTAAAGTCGGTTGTGCGCTTGTGCACATGGCGGCGGGTGGTGTCGGGCGGCGGCGTCGTCCGCGGGTGGCGCGATATACAGCGGGAAACGTGTATCATTCATTTTATCGAGCGCGCCCTCGCCCCCTCCCCCACCCCGCCACGGTACCGCCCGACCGGATCTCCCACCCCGCCCGACCGCCAACCCCGTCCGCCCGACATCCTTCGCGGCGCGGCGCTCGGGAAGTCGGGACACGACAGTCGTCCGGCGGTTCTTGGGCAAGTTGTGCCGCGCGCGTCCGTCCGGGTCCGTACGCCATGCCTGCCACGGGATTCGTGAGTCAAGACCCTGTGGCCGAGAAAACCGAACACGGCGATGTATTATTCGCAAGTGAGTAGCTCGGCGATCGATTACCATGTCGTTATATTAGACTGCGCGTTATGATAATAATATTATCATATTATTATTCGCGGCTGGTAATCGACGACGTCGAAATCCTTGAAAAACGCCGCGTAAATATTATAATAATAACTAATACGAAAAAAGTATAGGCAATGCGACTCGCCGGGAGAAATTAAACGTCCTGTCCAATACGTGACTTTTGACAACGTTAATTGAATATATTACAAATTGCATTTGCTATATCAATACAATATATATATACCTATATATCTGATCGATGGTTATTATTTATTATTATATACTATGTTTACCCCGGATTTAGTATCATTTAACGACAGGTGTTCAAGTGTGAAACATAATCTATAGATATATCGATCATATCGATGATTAAATAGGTTGATTTCATTCAAGTTTCGACTTTCTCGTTTTTCACTATGTATCACAAAAATAAATTTCTAAAATGAACATACACCGCTCCGTTGTACAACAAACAACAACTCTTTTAAGTTTAACAACCAACTAAATAATATGTTTGATGTTTCTATTGTATGAACGAATTAAAATCCAATTTGTAATGTATGAAATACACGGAACAACTTGTTGAAATTCGGAAAAAAAGTGGGACTTATTCTCAGTTTATCGATTTAAAAGGTTTAATACGGTTTATGTGAATTATGTGGAAATATGCGTCAATCTACCATACTATATGACATAATAATTATGTATAGAATATATGTAAAACAAATAAATGAACTACTACATAGTATTTTAAAATTAATCTAATTTTAATAGTTCCATAAGTTTAGGTTATATACATTCAAACCATACTAATGGCTAAATATAAGTTACAAAACTGGTACCTAGAGTTGAATTTATTCATTTGTTAACATTTAAACTTGTTATAAAAGTTTAAATGTTAACAAAAAATGATAAAAAATAAAAATAAAAATCTGAATCTCCTGGATTATACAAAATCATTAATTCGATGAAAATACACATTT